AACATCCAGTGGCAAGTAAATTTCGTCCATTTAACCTCGAGGTACTTGTACTGTTCTTGAGTCTTTCTACTTCTACTCCAACACATCTCAGAGGGAAATATTCTACCTATTGACTTCACTACATTTATCTACTACAGCTTTATAAATGAACACACAACAACATATGATGTTGTTATAAATGAAACTACCAACAGTTTATTTAAATACAGCTGAAACCATTAATCAATGAACTTCAGCTTCACAAACATGAAGATTTCCATTTTGAATGATTGTAATAATCTGAATGTATTTGTAATAATTGTGAGGTTTGGACTGTTGTGAAGGTGTCACTTTGAACTAATTGTGACGATATCTTTAGTATTTTCACAGTTTTTACAAAGCAATCAATCAATGGAAAATAATCATTAGTTTAAGTCCTCAACCAACTCCAACAGTAAAATCCTGCTTTCACATTAGTGCACGAGTCAGATAAATCTGATATTATATATAATAGTACAACACTTTAATACTTCATTTTACTCATTATACGCACATACTTCCACTGTAGTGAACAGTCTGAAAACCCCCTGCTTTACACACATGATCTTTGTGGGAACTGTATGGGCTGAAATTAAATTTGCAGCTCCTCAGTAGAAAATGAGATTATAGTTGGACTGAAAAGGCTCGACTCCCACCGGCTGCTGGGTTATTTTCAGATGAAAAAAAGTATAAGACCGTGTTTATCCAGTCATGGCTTACACTTTGAGTTCTACCTGTACACTCAGGACTTACAGGTAACACAGAAGCTGGATGATAAATCAATGACTCACTGTCTAATTCACTTCTGCAGTAATAACACTGATTGTTTCACTGCAAGAGAAACATAGTGAAATATTCTGTTGTGCTCAAAGTGTAAGACACACGTCAGTGTAAGTGCTGCTATGATCAGACACTTGTCTACAAGTCAGATAGTATGAAATGAGGTATAGGAGCTGGAAGGAGAGGCTCCAAGGGTCCATTGGCCCCCTGTAGTTTCAGACCTTGTCCCACAATCCTTATAGATCGTAAATCACTGCATCCCAGCAAATACCCTTATATTACAACACAGAATAAAGATGTCCACCCTGTGTGTGATCTGGATTGTATTTAACAGATACATTAGAGAATTAGGCTTATTTTTAATGCGTTAAAAACAATAAAGACGTACAAACAGACTCAGGGATAGCTTCTTCCCGCTGTCACCCGAATACTCAATCATAAAATTCAAACCCTTTGGCACTAATGTCATTTTATATTGTATGTATGTGATATTTATCGTGTGCACTTTTACGGAGCTGCTCTCCAAAAATCTCATTGTACTGGTGTACAATGAAGGCTTTCAATTCAATCAATTCAATTCTTTATTGTTGAATATCAGCAAAACAAGGAACTGTTCATTAAAGACATGAACTCTCACACAATCGGTGCATTCTTTACATCTTAACAGTGAGCTTGAATTAAACAGTAGTCTACTGTATTGTCTTTTATTGCCCAGTGTTTGGCTGCACTGTGAATAAAAACACAGTGAATCCACAGTTTCAAGATTTAATCCATTTCTACTCGCTTCAATCTGACATAATGAAAGGCATTAATAAAAAAGCCAAAAAATGTTCAAACCTATAATGATTTCCTTTTTTACTGGGATTTGGCAGGAAAGAGGTTTCGGCTTGTTTTATTCATTTAAGATTTGTGTAAAATGTTTAAAATTATTAGGTTGGCTATTTATTTATTTTTAATTTAGCATTTTGTGTGACGTCATTATATACACAGACTTTCTGTCAGCACTTAAAGAGCCCAAAGCTTATTATTAATTATCACTGGGTGCATTAATATTATTAATAATTTACTCAGAACACTGTTTTGTCACTTGACCCGCCCCAACCCGTGGTATTTTCTAGTCGACCCGCTCTGACTCTCCCTCTCTTCTGAACTGAATCCTCTGATCGGTGGTCCTTCTTGTGGGAGGAAACAATGTTTGAAAACCTGGTTTTGTAATTCATCCAGAGAGTACGAGTGTCCACACACACAGATAGAAACCTGCTGGCAGAGTGTGAGTTTTGATGTCCTCACCTGTGGGACTGACACTAATCACTGAATGTAAAATGCTGGAATGTTTTAAACTGCCTGAAGCACAAACGCTGCTGAAGACACCAGAGACAATCCTGTCCTGTTGTTAGCACAGGAACAAATAAAATGCACTAAAATGGACCCAGAACCTCTGATATTAAAGTTTGTTGTTTTATGTTTTGAATCTGTGTAGCTGTGGGGTCGGTACTGTGGTTATTTAGACTTCATTATCACACTGAGCAGTGTACTAAAACATGACGCTGTCCATATTCTATCAGAAAGAGTAAATGAATGTGTCAGATCAGGAGAGATATCAGGTGTGTGAGGTTGGCGTTGTGTCCAGAGGTCAGTGCAAGAGGAAGTTATTGAGTTCATCCTCAGGTTCTGGATATTAGCTACATGCTAATATAAGCATTCTATGTTCACATCAAACTATAGTAATTATTTTAGAGGACTTGGACAAGTGGAAATACGACCTGTTGATGGCATCAGATGAAGTCAGAGGATTGTTAGCAGATCTTTAGTCAGCAGGACTCATCCTCTGGCGGAGTTCCTACTCATCTTGAAAAACCTGGAAATTTAAAGACTAGATTCAGATACATATAAACCTACTGTAGGTGCATATTTAGTTTGAAACTCGACTGTTAAGATAAGCTGCAGTTCAAAGCAGGTTTATCAAACACTCAGTGGAACAGTCTGTCTGTTACTCAGACCTGTGGAAGCTCAGTGGAAATGCTGCAGACGGTCATAACTACATGCATACAGCCTATTAATGATCAAATTTACATTTGTTGTGGTTGATAAATACATGATCAGTAAACTAATACTAAACTAATCTGACTGAACTAATGAGTCTAAAATAATCATGGTCTAATCTGATTGTTCTTGATTAAACTAATCCGACTACACTAATTAATTAAACTGATCTGATCTAATTAATCTGATTGATCTGACTTTTCCGCAGTGGGAGAATGAGCAGCTGCACAGTCTGGAGGAGCGAGGTCGTCTTCTTCTCTCGCTGCAGTTTCTGCCTCCGCTCAATTCGGAGGACAAAGACGCAGAGCGAGGAGGAGGAGGTGAAGGGCGTCGCAGCGGAGGTCTCTGTGTGGGCGTGAGGCGCTGCGCTCACCTGGCCGCCATGGACGTCAACGGATTCTCTGACCCCTACGTCAAAATGTAAGAACAGAGCTAACATTAGCATGCTAATATCTTATCATATAGTACATGATGCTAATAACAAAACTGAAGAACCGAATACTGTTGTGGTTTAATTTGCTCACTCACACAGATCTCTACATGAAGGGAATAAAAATGAGTCAGACACACATTTACAAAGAACTCACTTCAATTACAGTTTGTGATGGAACTTCCTGTTTATATAGCCAATAGCTTCTGATTGGACAGCGCTACAGAGGATTGCTACAGTTAGCAACCAATTCACACATCACTAAAGTCTGTACTTGAAATTGTTTTAAATTTAAATCTCTAATAGGCATTTTATTCTTATGTATTAATCACTTTTTTCATTAAATGGAAGGAAATGATTCTACATTTTCAAGTTTTCCAGTCCATTTTAGCCGGTTAGAGGATCATTCAGATCACCTGTTGTGTGCTGTGGGGACCGACTCCTGATCAATGATTGAGAGCAGCTTAGTAAATCCTCTCTCGGCCAATCAGAGTGTGACTCTGCCGGTTCCTTAGGGCATAAGAGAGGAGGGGAGCTGCACGCTCTGATGCTTCCTCAACTCTCTGCAGACCTCATTTTATGGGATATTATCAGCTGCTAACTCTGACCTTTTGAGAATTCTTCTGTTTTCTGACTGAAAGGGATTTTATTGTTCTGAAACTGAACCCTGAGTGAATATTAAAGAACCCATTTCCACTAGATTACCTGAATCAGGGCAGATTTTATAGCAGCTGTGCTGTGCAATAGTTTTGTTTGCTTAACAATTACCTGCAGGCTTTATTGTGTTTATTAGCAACCACTCCGAGGACCCAATCGTAACTGAAGGAATTATTCTTGTGCCAAACATGTTCCAAACCTCAACAAACACTGCACACGTCAGTGATGGTTAACGCTTGTGTAACAAGTTGTTGTAAATACTTCAATAAAGCAGCCCTGGCAGCACATTTCACGTACACACGCAAATCTGTAGGCACATGTATCCCGCCCAGACGTTCAAAAACCCTCTTGGACCTATTTTATGGTCATTTTTGGCGTCTTTTTTTTTTTTGTTTGTTTTGTTTTGTTTTGTTTTGTTTTAGGCGTTGTCCTTTCTCAACCTCCTCATACAGAATTCTTCAGCTCGACTTCAGATTAGGTCAGCAGCATCTAAAGACGTTCATGATGAAAAGTTTTCGTGGCATCGGATTTCAAGTTACGCCATGAAACAGGAAGTTGTTGTAACTTGGCTGTACTTTGCCCAATCAGCACCAAACTTCATACATCTGATAAGAGTCGCAGCCTGAACACCACAGCACGCCTTGATGAACACGGACTGCAAGGTCTGTGTTAATCGCTGCTTGCGGCTTTAACTTTCATTGAATTCCCCTAATACTCATTTCCTTTTTAAGGGGAGGGAAAAACGAGCAGAGAAACTCAAAATGAGTCACAATTAAGTAATTTCTGTCTAGTGGGATTAACTGTATAAATGTAAATTAGTGTATAAAAGTGCTTTAGAAGTAAAGTTTTAGAGGATTAATGCTGTTAGGACAATAACGTCTTTAAATAATTCTCAGCTGTTCTAGTACAAACTTTACAACGTTCATTCAAATGGACACAAATATGTTGGAGCCGAACCTGAACTCCTCCTGCACTGAGGATGTCAACTGAATACTGGACTTCAGCACTAATGAGACAAATAAAAGCTGGAGTTTTGCCAACTCATCAACTTTACTAATCAATGATGCAATTGTTGTTAAAGTTGCACCATCTGTTTCCTAGCAGGAAGGATAATCAGTTAGGAGAAGGAAACAGTGAGCAGAGCAGTGCTCTGTCAGAGGAAACACTCGGGGCCAGAGTCGGGGATTTAAGGCTTTAGCTGGCTTTTGAAGAGGACAAGAGTTTTCTGTTGCATGCCGTCAGAATACAAACTGAGTTTGAAGCAGAACAAAAAGGCAACTGGCAGCCAAGGGGTCAAGTGAACTCCAATTTACCAGATTTTAAAATAACTACAGAGTCCAGAATATCAGCATGCTGCGTCACGGCTCGCTTTCAGCCAATACATCGCTTTAAAGAAGGTCAATATTCCTTTTAAAAACCAGACAGTCGGCGTCATCACCTGTTCCTCTTGATCAGTCTGTGTCTGGATTTATTATCTTCACATCCAACTAGATAAATCTATCGACTTTGTGGTGGTAATCCTTTCCTGATAAGTTTCAAACCTGCAGTGAAAGTATGACTTTAGTTTGACTGCATTTAAACCTGTATCAGACTTAAACGACTCTCGTACCTGTGACTTACGAAGGACTAAAGCTGCCATTATAATTAATGACTTAAATGAATGAAATAATGGCAGGATTGTAGAAATAAAAGCCTCAGTTATCAAATAACTGTGCAGGTTAATTTAAAGATAATAAGGTTTAAAGATAATTTAACTTATTTAATAAAACATCTTGGCAAAAAATATCAGGAAAAACTGCTGAATGGAGATCATATTATTGAATCTTGCGGCACTCTCTAAATGTTATCAGACTTAACAAATGATTTTGTGGAGGTGTTGATGCAAAAAAATGTATCCACCATTTTACAGCGGCTGTGTGTGTATATGTATGTGTATGTGTGGTTGGTGTGTGTATGTATTATATAATATATATTATATTTATTATTATATATAACTTATAATGTACATATATATATGATATATATGTATTATTATATATGGTAATTATATATATATATATGATCATAATATCATATATATATATGATATAATTATATAGTATGTAATCTAAAAGTATATATATGTATTATATATAGATATATATATGATTATATGTATACTATAATGTATATATATATAATGTAGTATATAATTATTTATGATATATATAATGTAATATAATGTGTGTATATACTATATATATGGTGTACTATATATATATGTGTGTGATATTTATATGTGTTAATATATTAATGGTGTGTATTATTATATGGCATTATATAGTTTAATGTGTGATTATATATATGTGTGTAATATATTGATATATGGTGATAATATATATTATGTGGATATTTATATGTGTGTATATATATATGTATATATGTGTGTTATATATATATATATGTATATATGTGTGTATATATATATATATGTATATGTATGCACTTTTCAAACTAAAGCAAAGTGCTTTAAAGATTCTTATTTAAAACAGATAATAGTGCAAAATATTTGGAAGTGGATATAAAATACAAATACAAGCACAATTAAAATGACAAAACACCATAAAAGTAATGTGAAAAGGAAATGAAATATGAAGGTAATATAATGGAAAACATGAACTGTAAGACATCTTGTAAAAGTAAGTTTTCAGGACATCAGGTCAGTCATTTTGCAGATGATACTCACATTTACTTGACGATTTTGAAAGCAGTACTTACTACTACTTACTACTTACATGTAGTGGAGCAGTGTGGTATTAAAATATCTGAATACTTCTTCTGCGTGATGTACAGGTGTAGTCCAGTACACTGTGACCTCACAGTTGGGTGTGGTCAGTTAAACACAGCCTCTAAATCTGCTCTTCTCTCCCTCTGCTGTCAGATACCTGAAGCCCGACATACAGAAGAAATCCAAGCACAAAACAACGGTGATGAAAAAGACCCTCAACCCCGAATTCAATGAGGTAAAAACCCTGAGCTGCCCCTCCTCCTCTTCCTCCTCCCACAGGCTGCCACAGCAGGTCCAACGCCGGCCCAGAGCTTCACACAGAGCTCAGGGCCTTCACTTGACTCATACTTCACTCCACATCAGTTCCAGTCTCTCTGAGACACAACTTTAATGAGCTCAGTCTCTTTTATTTCAGGCTAATATCCCTGCTCAGTGTAAAGGAAAACGAACTGCTTCATCTTGTTTTTCTGAATAACTGAAACATCTCCAACTGAATGAAAACCAGAATTTCTGAACAGCTGTCAGAAACTTTTCTTCTCCTGAACTAAATTAGATTTTCACCTTAAACTAGAGAACCAAAAAAAGCGCTCGTCTGTGTTTATTATCATCAGTATCACATTGTCGTTATTAAAAATACATTATAAAAAATACTGATTATTGTCACTTTAAAGACATTTATATTGTAGTTTCAGGCTGCTGAGCTACACTTTGAATATGTTAGTTTGTGTGTTTAATGTTGTTTCATATGTGACCTGTTGGACTGGATTTTCAGTCACTATGGGTGACCCTAATCCAGAAAAATTAAAACTGATGAGAACTACTACCTTTTTAACCATTTTAGATTACTTCCTCAGTCATATTGTTCCTGTTAAACAATGTATGCCAAAAATCTTTCAATTTCAAATATTTTTTGTTTATATCAATCAGGAATCATCTTTCCTGAAAATTAAAATGTGACCTGACATTCACCTGTCAATCAATCTGCAACTTTTAGCGACACAGAGTGAAGATTCATTAGTTGGCTAGCTAGCTAACAGCATGGCTAGCTACCGGTGCTTACTGATTACTGTACAAACACTACTTTCTAAAATATGATCTAGTTTCACCCAAATCACTGGTATTGTCTGGTTTTCCCTCTGATGTATGTATGTATGTATGTATGTATGTATGTATGTATGTATGTATGTATGGCTCTGGTTGTGATGTTCACTGGGCGCTCCCAGTCCAACAGAGTCAGCTAATGGATCCACTATAGGTGAAGATATATTTGTCACACGCACAATATTTGTTAGTTGGGTCGGATGGAAAAGGCTGTTACCAGACTTGAATACCCTGCAAATAAAACCGAGGCAGCACAAGATAAAATTGTCAGCAGTCAGTTTGTTTTTAACGCTGCACCTCACAGACCTGTACTGTGCTTCTCTCTGTGTCTGATGACTGCAGGAGTTTTTCTATGAGATCTCGCTGTCTGAGCTCGCCAACAAGACGCTGGAGGTGACTGTGTGGGACTACGACCTGGGACGCTCCAACGACTTCATAGGTGAGACACCGGAGGCTCATCGTGATCACTGAAACCTCCTCTCAGCCTGTCGGTGGAACTGGTTCCTGAACCCCGAGTGCTCTTTGTCTCAAGGACATGTTTTATGGTTGCGTGGAGAATATCTGAGTAAATAATCACATAATGAGCTGAAAATGTTTGACAGGATCGTCCTCTTGTTCAGCTGAAAGGAAACGATGTAAATATTAATGAATCTGACACATGCTGCTTGTCAGTGTCTGCAAAGCTGTTCAGCCAAAGCTTTGTTTGTTATGATTATGAATGATTTTTTTATCAGTCCCACCATCTGTATTACTGATCGGGCTCCCTTTCCTCCTCTAGTTCTGATAATTACAGTTTCTGTGTGTTATTATTTTGATATTGTTAAATATGGAAAAAAACAAAGCGCTGCTGGTTGCCAATAATTCATCTCAAGAGCACGGCTTATTTAATGTTGAGCAGCGTGTTTGCTGCTGTTTGTGAGGCAAAAGTCACCGTGTTCTACAACTGTAGCTTTAAACACGCAAAGTACAAGATTTGCAAGAGTACATTTATTGATCATACAATTAAGGATAAAAGGGCATGATAAACGGCCGACCCTGTTTTTTAACCTTAGATCTAACACAGAACATATTCTCTCCACATCTTAAAAAACAGAAATAAAATGAATAGATAACAATAATTTACCAAAAACAGGTTCATACAGATACATAAAACAATCATACTGAAGGGATAATGGCACATTAGACACTAGAATAAGCACCTCAAGATTTCAGTCCATGCTAGTCCATAGAGCCCACTCTGCAGGGCCCCGTCTTCTCCAATATAGTCCAGAAAGAGGGCCCAGATATAAAGAAACGTAGATGTTTTTTGTCCTTGAGCCAGAAGCTTATTGCTTTTAAAGCAATAAGTTGCCTAACACTCTGAATCAAATGTGAGACCATAGGGAGTCTAAAATCCACTGCAGACCAACACAACTCCTTGAACTAAAATCTATTCACCTTATACAGCTCCAGTGAAAAAACAGGTTTATGGGACAGTTTTTTTTTTTCTGAACTATATTATTGATTTTTTTTTTACACACTTTGAGCCAGAAGTCATTAATATGAACCCTCAGTAGTTTAGCACTTATTACAGTAGCAAAGGATTAAACATGTTTCTTTCACTGGGTATTCACACTGAATACTAATGTCAGCTCTGAGCTAAGAGTTGACCCTGGGATAATGCACACAGTTAACCCTGGTTTAACATAAAGCCAGAGTTAAACGATTATCAGAGGTAAAAGCCTTTTGCCCTGGGGTTAGGGGTCTGTTAGCCCCAGGATAGTGAGGGTTCATAGAATACTTTTATCTCTGGGCTAACGCTTCTGCTAGCTCTGGGTTAAATGTCTGCTGGAACACGTGACTAATGTTTACATTTGTCTTTAGCCCCGTCTCTCAAAGTTGGAGCTCTGGAGCAGGGTCAGCAACAGCAAGCCCTTGGCTAAAGTTGGGTTATAATGTGCCAGTGTGAAAGCTCCCTTAGCCTGGTGCTACTAGGGTTCTTTGAAAGCTGCGACCCACTTGCATGAAACAGCACAGAGCAGATTGCACTGAGAGGAAGTCATAGAGAATCCAGTCAATTTTCAAAAAATAAATGCCATATGCAGATTCCAGATTGAATTTCAAGCTATATCAACATTGTGGAATCAGGAAGAAGTCACTTTCAAATCCTTTTCTAAAGGATAAAATATACAAGAAACCAACATCGCAGCAACCCGCTCTGAATACTCTCTGTGAGATTTGAGGATCTCAGAACCAAACTGAGACACAGACGTGATGTTATAAAGCCGTGCCGGGTGGACTCTAATGTTAGCATAGCTCCAGTCAACAGTTTAAAGGACAGACTCACATTCTCAAAGTGATCCCTTCATAATGTTCTTCCAGTGGACAAAATCCTCCCACTGTGCAGAAATATGTTCCAAGTTTCCTTTTGGCTGTGACTAGTAATGTAACTAATTTTAACGTGAGACTTCCTGTTTGTCGCCCGTTCAGGCGGCGTCTGTCTGAGCTGTCACTCGCAGGGCGACGCCCTCCGGCACTGGATGGACTGCCTGAAGAACAAAGGCAGGCGGGTGGAGCGGTGGCACATCCTGACCAACGAGCTGCCGCGAACCCTCAGCCACGACTAAACCCAGCAACCTCAGCGCGTGCGGGCGGGCACCGTCGGGGACCGCAGACAGCCTCTGGGTACTTCACGGGACGGACTCGAGCAACTTCACCACAGGAATCAGCAGAGAGGGAAAGTGTATTATAAAAAGAGCCACCATGGTCGGAGCAGGATGGTGGTGTGCCTTCATTATTGATCATCACACCTGCACTCAGCACCAGGTTACATCCACTGCAGGCCGACGCTTATGAGGGGTGGAACTCACATTTAGTAGAAACCACAGCTGCAGACGGTTGCATGTCTTCTTTCTTCTACAGATTTTAGTCCCATGCTCTCTTTACAAGAAAAACCAGCTCCTGAATTTGTTATATTTTTGTTGTCACAACACCTCTCGTCCGTGCATGTTCCCGTCACTGCAGTATTTTCTCCGTCTGCGTAGACAGAACTTTTCTGCGTTCAGTCTAAACCCAGTTTCTTCCTCTCATGTTTATACAGCTCAGCTTCTGTTCTAACTAACGAGGTGGGTTACTAACTGCTGTTGTGAAGATATTTCCTGAATAGACGACTCAGTCCCTCCAGGATTTGCAGGCTTTTCTGGGGACTGTTGAGGCCTAAAATGGCTGATTTTACAGCAGCTTTTATCAAATGTTGCAATGGTTACTTTTCTGAGTTAGAAAAACAAGAGTCTTTAAATTTGAGAAACAAAACATTAAAAAAAATGTTCATAAAAGTCATGGAGTGGAAATCAGTGAATAAACTATTTAATTTTCAAACACCCACATAATCAATATTCAGGTTCACTGTGATGAATTTCTGAAAATGTTAAAATGTGTTTCTAAAATTACCTCAACAACAGATTATTATTACATTGGCGAAACTGTTTTTAGTTTACTCAACAGTCAGTGAAAATTGCAAAAAAATAGATGATTTGATTTGTTTGTTTTTATTTTGTAAACCATAAAACTTTAATAGCCCAGGTTTTTATTTGCTTCAGTCACTGAACTCAACCTGCCTTTATTTGAGACAGGCCTTTAATTCCATTTCGTAAAGGAGACCTGCGTTCAATTGAGGTTTTATGGTACTATATTAAAAATTGAAGGCAACTTGTTC